AGTAGCTGGAAAGCTGCCCAGCAGAAAAGGATGTGGGGGTGCGGGTCGACAGACAGCTGAATGTCAGCCACCAGTATGCCCAGGTGGTCAAGAAGGCCAATGGCACCCTGGCTTGTATTAGAAATAGTGTGGCCAGCAGGGCTAGGGAAGTGATTGTCCCCCTGTACTTGGCACTGATGAGGCCACACCCTGAGTACTGTGTCCAGTTTTGGGCCCCTCACTTCAAGAAGGACATTGAGGTGCTGGAGCATGTCCAAAGAAGGGTAACGAAGCTGGTGAAAGGTCTAGAGCACAGGTGTGAGGAGCAACTGATGTAACTGGGGTTGTTTATTCTGGAGAAAAGGAGTCACAGAGGGACCTTATTGTTCCCTACAACTACCTGAAAGGAGGTTGTAGTGATGTTGGTGTTGGACTTGGTGTTATCTGCTTTTCCTGGCTCTGTGTGTTTAAATATTGAATGTCTAGGGATTTGAAATGTTAACCCAGTCTTTAAGAACAAAACTTTGTGAAATTTTAAGGGTAACTCTAAGCAAACAGAAGGGAAACCTTTTTATTTTTCTCATTACACCATCTCAAAATTTATATACTTATGTGTTACTCTGCTTATCACAGAAACAACATACTATTCATGGTTTGAGAAAGTTAACTATTATCTTATATGGAAATATACTGGTCACAGTATATTATGGGTTATTATACACACATTTTTTTATATTATCACGCCCTTTTAAAAAAAAGGTACTAAGGAGTTGCCTGGGAACTACTAACCAGTCAGTCTTACCTCTGTGCCTGATAAGATCATGGAACATATTGGCCCGGAAGACATGTTGAAACATATGGGAAACAGGGAGGTGATTAGAGACAGCCAACATGGCTTCAGCAAGGGCGTGTCATGCCTAACTAATTTAGTGGCCTTCTACGATGGAGCAGCTGCACCAGTGGACAAGGGAAGAGCAACTGATGTTGTCAATGCTACAGATGTCATTTATCTGAAATCTTTGACATGGGCCCCCACAATATCCTTCTGTCTAAATTGGAGAGATGTATTCAATTGGTGGACTGTTAGATGGATAAGGAATTGGCTAATGGCTGCATTCAAAGTCAAGAACTCAATGTCCAAGTAGAAACCAGTAATGAGTGGTGTCTCTCAAGGGTCTGTACTGGGACCAGTAGTGTTTAGTATCTTCATCAATGACATAGCCAGTGGGATTGAGTGTGCCTGCAGCAAGTTCGCAGATGATACCAAGCTGAGCAGTGTAGTTGATTCACTTGAGGGAAGGAATGCCATCCAGAGGGACCTTGACAGGCTCAGTCTGTGTGAGCTTCATGAAGTTGAACAACACCAAGTACAAGGACCTGCACCTGGGTCAGGGTAATCCCCAGTATCAATACAGACTGTGGAATGAGTGGATTGAGAGCAGCCCTGCAGAGAAGGACTTGGAACTGGTGGATGAAAAATTGAACATGAGCTGGCAGTGTGTATTTTCAGCCCAGAAAGCCAATTATATCCTGGGCTGAATCAAAAAAGCGTGGCCAACAGGTCAAAGGAGATGATTCTCCCTCTCTACTTTGCTCTGATGAGACCCCACCTAGAGTAATGTGTGCAGATCTGGGGTCCCCAGTACAAGAAAAACATGGACTGTTGGAGTGGGTCCAGAGGAAGGCCATGAAAACAATCAGAGGACTGGAACACCTCTCCTATGAAGAAAGGCTGAGAGACCTGGGATCATTCATTGCGGAGAAGTCTCTGGAGAGACCTTATTGTGGCTTTTCAACATATATAAAAGGAGCTTATATAAAAAGACATATAAAGAGAGACTTTTTACCAGGGTCTGTATTGACAGGACAAGGGCCAATGGTTTTAAACTGAAAGAGAGTAGGTTTAGATTGGACATAAGGAAGAAATTTCTTATGATGAGGGTTGTGAGGCACTGGAACAGGTTGCTCAGAGAAGCTGTAGATTCCCCATCATTGGAAAGTGTTCATGATCAGTTTGGATGGGGCTTTGAGCAACCTGATTTAATGAAAGATGGCCATGGCAGGAGGTAGAAGAATTAGATCTAGATCATTCTATGATTCTGTTATTAGTAGTCAGTTAGAAACCTGGTTTCTTTCATATTACATGTTCAGTTGCAAGCAAAAATAATTTTGCTTTGGCAATTCTTTGCAATTGCTGTATACAACTTCCTCACAACGGGAAGTGGAGGGGCAGGCACTGATCTCCTCTCTGGCAACCAGTGACAGGGCCCGTGGGAATGGCACTAAATTGTGTCAGGGTAGGTTTAGGTTAGATATTAGAAAACGATTCTTCACTCAGAGGGCGATTGGGCACTGGAACAGGCTCCTCAGGGTAGTGGTCACAACACCAAGCCTGACAGTGTACAAGAAGCATTTCGACAATGCTCTCAGGCACATGGGTATATCCTGTGCAGCCAAGAGTTGGACTTGATGATCCTCATGGGATCTAATATTCTAACTCTGAATTGATTCTGTAATTTATTTGTTTGAAAATCATATTTCTTCCTATAACAAATAGCAATACAAATGAGAATGGCTGTCCAGTAGTACCAGCCTTCAGACAAAGAGAACTTGAACTGCAAGTATACCTAGCTGCTGCTTGATTTGTAATTACATTTATGATGCTTTTTGCTCTCTCCAAGGTGTTTTAAAAGGTAGTTACCAAACTGAACTTTATTATGTAGGTTTTTTAAGCATATTTTTAAGTGACTGAAGTTTTTCACTTAATTGTGCAAATGTAAATGTTATTATAATGATTTATAGGCAGAAAGTGAAATTAACTGTGTAGTTAAACATGAATGGTATTATTTTACCTTTTTCAACTTTAATTTTTTAACTTCAGTAGAAGTTGATTTTATTCTGTGAGGGTGCCTTAAAATGGAATTAGGATTCATTAAAACTAAATAATTGCATGCAAAACAAAGTCATTTTCATTGTGCCTAAGAACCAGGTCTCTCATTTATTCAGGATAAAACTTTACTGAGACTATTATAGGTTTTTTTAAAATTAAGACTTGAGCAAGAGTATTTGAACATGTATTCAAGTTTCTGTGGAAAATTAGAACCAACTCTGCCGTTAAGTTCTAGTTACGTTCCTCTTAACTAGAAGAGATTAGCATTTCTATAATACTCCTAACTTTGACAACACAGATTGTGAATGCAGAGTGACCTCCTTGATCAGGTTAAATCATCACAGAAGTTAAGTTTAACAAAAGATACTGTAGAACTCTGCTAAGATTTTCATGGAGTATGAAAGTCTTGAGGTGGGACAAGCTGTCGAAGGAATTATACGTCTTGGTTTTAATAGAATTATGATTGTATCTTCAGCATTAGTAACTTTATATACTGTTTTTATTATTCTTTAAGACTCATGAGGACTTCACTGATAAGATTACTATTTGTGTCTTTTGGATCTCTATCATACATGGGCTGCTCTTTGAGCTTTCATTGGTCCTAGAGACATTTTTCTTTGATCACTGTCACTAATCTAAGGATGGATGTTGTTTTCTGCAACTGATTTTTTAAGCATGCTAGTGATGTGTATATTGCCATTTAAATGAACTGTAGTATCACTGGTAACTAATCCAGAAATTTATTTTGTAATTAGCTAACATTTGTGAAAATTCAATCAGGCAACCCACTTTAGGATTGAATATGTGTATTGTAACATGCTAAAATAAAGATAATATACATTTATCACCAATGTAATGTCATAACATTCATGTTTCTTCATATTGACATCAACTTGACATCAACTGTCAAGTTACTGTTTTGGGGGGTTTTAACTCAGTGGAATAAAACTTGTGTAACACTTTTATTGGGTTGAAACTGTCAATTAGCTTACATGGCTGTTTATCAGAGCAACTGCCATTCACCAGAAGGAATCTTTCTGTGCAAGTTGGCATAAAAAAATGAGGAAGGGTAAAAAGTATATTTCATTTATTGTCTGCTTTAAAGAGTGTTACTTCTGTTGCTGTGACCTTTGCATATAATTTTTCTTGTGTTATACTAAAAAGGAATGTTAGAAGAATATTGTCGCTACCATGCGTCTTTAAAAACACTTGAAGTCAAAGATACCTGTAAGTGCAGAGGGAAGCAAAACTTCCTTCAGGTGACAACACAGGTTGGGGAAAACAGAATTTTAATCAACCACCACTAATGTTTCCACTGACTTCTTCCTCCTGGGGCAAGGGAATTAGGTTTACTGTTCTGCAGAGAGCAACAATTTAGCAAAAGTATATAATACTATTAGGTGACATTGCTCTTTGAGACCTGATTTAGGGTTTTAACAAGCAAGTTTTACTTTTGATGTTCAGTGTAGCAATGGCTAAAATAGTTCTTTTGGCTCAAGCAAACTAGTTTTAGAAGCTACTGTTATGAAAGCAACCTTATACAAAATGTTGCAAGTGTTCCACTACTTTTCAGTGTGGGTTTTTTTCCATTTTCCAGTGCAATGGAATATACTTTATACCCTAATTTGAATAAGATGCACTAAGCTGTGTATGTTAGAATTTAATGTATCTTATATTAATATATAATAATAATATATTGCCTTCTTAAAGCATGCAGCTCTTGTCTAGAGTAGAATTTTGAGTATGTACTTGTTTAATGTTATGTTTGTATCTGTGTACAGAAAGCATAGAAACAATGTTGGACCAAGCAAACCTATTTCTCAGCCACGAAGAAACATTGTAGGCTGCAGAATACAGCATGGCTGGAGAGAAGGGAGTGGACCTGTAACACAATGGAAGGGCACAGTTCTTGATCAAGTTCCTGTAAATCCCTCTCTCTATCTTATAAAGTATGATGGATTTGATTGTGTGTATGGACTAGAACTGCACAAAGATGAAAGAGTTTCAGCACTTGAAGTCCTTCCAGACAGAGTTGGTAAGAGGTTTCTTTCCTATATGCATATGTTGTCAGAACATTTAAATTTTTTTAAATTACTTTTCATCACATGATAATCTAAATGCTCTGTTTATTTTGTTTTATTTCACAAAGTTTTGATGATATCAGAGAGATTAGTGCTGTCTCTTGTCTTTAAATGGTATGCAGAAAATTCTGTGGTTTGTCTTTTTTAGAGTCATATCCCTAACAAGCATATGTACATTAGCATCAATATTTCTATTAAAATTTGAACTCTGAGCCAGCTGAGAAATGTCCTGGCTATGTTGTCTTGTGTGTGTTTGCCAGTAATTATTTGTTTGGTTGGAGTGTTTGTTTCATGTGATTTCCCTAGGTATTAATACAAGCGGAAGGAAAAAAGCATTTTCTAAGTGAAATGACTAGTATCAAGGCTTTATTGGTTTTTTTATAATTAGCATTGGATTATTAAACTGCAGGTTTTTCCAAACTATAAAGTTCAAAGTTTACCCTACTAATTGCTTATTTCTGAATGGAATAAATTCTTGTTTTTCCAGACTGCAAAGAAGTAACAGTCTCTAGAATGGGGTTAGGGGGAACCAAACTGAACGCCTTCATTAATAACTTCATACAGCTGCTCTGTGATTTAACCTCTCTTCCTCCTCTCCCCCCACAATACAAGTATTTAAAATACAGATGCTATTCTTTGCTGTGGTCTATATTGGTCTCCCTTTACCTTGCATTATGATAGTTTGATTGGTGGCAGGGAGGGGGCAATGATGGAAAATGTCGATACAGAGTGTTAACATGATAAAATAATTCTTCAAGTTCTGCAGTTCTTTGTTCTTCAACTCTCTGAAATGGGCATTATTTGTTTTGTATGTGAATTGACTAACTTTCAAACAAATTTATTCATGAATCTGGATAAAGATTATTTTTTACAAAAACTTATTTCTGTACTTTTTGAATGGACATACTTATGAACTGCTACCATTTCAGCTTCATCTCGAATTACCGATGCCCACCTGGCAGACACTATGATTGGCAAAGCTGTGGAACATATGTTTGAGACAGAGGATGGCTCAAAAGATGAATGGAGGGGGATGGTTTTGGCTCGAGCTCCTATTATGAACACATGGTTTTATATTACCTACGAGAAAGATCCTGTCTTGTACATGTACCAACTCTTAGATGACTATAAAGAAGGTGACCTTCGCATTATGCCCGATTCCAGTAAGTAGAACAGTTACTTTTTTCTTCTGGAAAGTGGCATCTCTCTTTGTATTATTGTATGGCTTATGAGTTATGTATGGAAAAGAGAGTTGGCAAACACAGATCTTTTTAAGTATCAAAACTAGCAAAGGTTACAGCACAACTGAAAATACATCTGTATTAAACAATTTCTGAAATATTTTACTTGAATCAGTGGTGAAATATGCAATAAATACTGGGAAATCCTTTTCCGTATTAATTCCTAATTTTGATAAAAAGATGCATACTATTGTGGAAGAGATTGCACTTAGATTCTTTTTTACACTGACAAACTAGAAGCCTTTAATTGTTATTTTCTTATAGAAGTGTCACAAATCAAGAGCCATCTCAAGGAGTTGTATTTCTGAAGCAGTTCTTTTAAGGATAATGTTTTGGGGCTAACTAAAATAGGTTAATTTAGTTTGGGTAGGCATCTTCAATTTGGAAAGCTTTTGAATAGTTTCTTGGAAGAAAAAAACTCACTTTGAAAATGCCTTTTCTCTCACATGTTTAAACACATAAATGAAAAAGATTTCAATAGGTTATGAAGAATAGTTTTTCTTCCTTTCTTGAAGTGAAAGTTATTGTCTTCTTTCCTATAAATATTTTCACAGAATTAGTGTTCAAGGGGTTTTAGTTAATACAAAAAAGAAAAGGAGAAAAAAGATTGTTAAGAATTTTGTACTCTCATTTTTGTCCTGTGCCTCAAAAGCACTTCTCTGACAGAGGCAATTTTGGCTTTAAAGTAAATCATTCATTCAATAGCCAAACACTCATTATGCAATGCACTACATAAATATTATTTAAAATTAATTCACTGGGTTTCTGAGACTGTCTTCCTTCAGCTCTAGAACTGGCTGAGTAAACAAGCAGCACTTATTTGCATAACCTCTGTAGTAGTCTGATGGTTTTAGGGGTTTTTTTCCAGCATAACAGAAAGCAACATATCTGTTGGCTTGAGAGGGAGCCACAAATGTTAATGGAAAAACTGACCTTCCTATTCATGAAAAACCAAATAAAGCAAGCTCTTTCAGAGCTGGCACTGCAAAATGCCTTGCAATTGCTTTTTAAATTCTGTTTTGCTTTCTTCCATCTTCAAAAATAAGTTAAAATACTTATGTTTTTCATATTTAAGAATTAAGTTGTTAATGTGTTCTTCTTTTCCTGAGACTATCTATTGTGGGTCCCTTCCAACTCAGGATATTCTATGATTCTATGATTACTTACCTCTGTTTCTAACACACTCCAAACTATGAGCTACCTTCCCTGAATTTGGATCTTTTACAGACAATGTGAATTGTTTCTTTAAGGATACTTCTAGGTCGATTTTGCCAGAAAAGCAAATAATATAGTTAAACTTCTCAACATTATCCATTCTAGTGTGAAATTGAAAGCTCCTTTTAACAGCATTATTGATTAAGGAGGTTGCACTTAGCTTGGAAGATGTGGTTTTGTTGCAATGGCATGTTTGCATTAACATTTTGGATAGTTTGTGAATTCTAGCACATTTGCCTTTCTGTTAAAGACAGTGCCTTGTTCTGCTGGGGGCTTAAATTCCATTATCTACAAACATGTTTTGTAATTGGTGTGTAAACCTTCATGTCAAAAGATTTACTTTTCTAACCAATTGAAGTGCTATTTTTTACTTCATAAAATTGAAGACGGTATTGCCTAAAAAAATAAAATCTGTGTCTACTCTCTTAGAAGCATGGTAATAGTTAGGTGCTTGTCTGAACAAGTCAACTTGTTTTAGACATACTCTGCATTTCAAACTTGCGATTGTTTCTTAACTTTTAAAGAAGTCTCTGCAGTTTTATATATTGGAAAAAATCCATAAAATGTCTACCAAAGTCCATTGTATTTTCATATTACAGATGATTCACCTCCTGCAGAACGAGAGCCAGGTGAAGTTGTGGACAGCCTGGTAGGCAAACAAGTGGAATATGCCAAAGAAGATGGCTCAAAACGGACTGGCATGGTCATTCATCAAGTTGAAGCCAAACCATCTGTCTATTTCATCAAGTTTGATGATGATTTCCATATTTATGTTTATGATTTGGTGAAGACATCCTAGATGTCGTCATGAACTTCTGTCAAATTTGTGGAACTATTAAATTTAAAATTTGTAGACACAGACTTGACTGTTTTTCAGTTAAACAAAAGCTTAAATGTCCCTGCGAACCCACAATCTCTGCCAGCAACTCTTTTGTTCTGAATAATACAAGTTTATGTGAACATGGCACATCTTGTGTAAGAGAACTCCTTTTCTTGAAGGAAGTTGATATATTTGGGTGGTAGGGAGTGCAAAGAACAGTTGCAAATTCAAGCTGTGTGAAGTCAATCTAGTATTGTAATCTAGATTTTTTCATAGGTTGATTTTTTCTTAAACCTTGCATCACCTGTTCAACTGCCACATGCAAGTGTAGTTTGCTATTTTCCATATGCCTTCTTTTGCACCATTAAATTTAATTTCTTGGCTACTGGCAGTCCTTGTTTTCTGGGTTGGTACAGAGGTGACTCTTGAAAGGTTTAAATAGTTTGTGCAGCAGTAAGGAGTGTCTAACCCAAGTAACACCAATTTACTGTGTTTCTACACTTTATTGCAAATTACGCTTTTTAAGAACTTGCATTACATGGAAATACTTGTGCATTTTTGCTAGTCACAGGGCAGTAGGATATCAAGTGTTTGACTTATGCACCTTTCACTGAAAAGGCTTTAACCTATAAAAATATATTTAATCTTTATAACCAGTTAATTAGAAAATGCAGGCTAAGGACCTGTGTTTGCAAGTTGTAGGAACCAGTAAAATACACACAACAAAGCTGCCTTTAATCCTAAATGTTGTACTCTGTTTTGTTATACACATTTCATAGCAGAATGCAAGTGCTTGGTGCCACAGTATATAATGCTACTTAAGAAGACTTTAGACTACACATTGGCAATCAGTAGTCTCTCATTTAATATCAGAACCTAGCAACCTGGATGTTTGTGTGTGGACTTAAAAAACTAGTAGTAGTTAATCTTTTACATGGTAAATACAAGTTTATGGAGGTGGGGGAGTCCTTTTATACTGAGAACCTCCTTTAGAGAAGGAGAAGCATTTGTTGCCTTCTGCTCAGTCTGCTGTATTCCTTTGCTTTGTTTTGTGATGGGATTTGCTATTGTTTTTAACCATTTTGGTTCAAGAAGGCATCTTTTCAATGTATTCTTTTTCTGGTTTTTCCACATAAGGAGTGTCCAGACAAATCTACAGTTTAAACCTGTTGTTGCCTTTTGTGGTGTACTTGCTTTGAGGTATGCCGTTAACATTAATTTCATTCTATGAACACTAGAGCTTTGCATGCCAGTGGTGTACTATCTAATAAGAGCTATAGACAGTCTCAGTGGTTCAGTCATCTGCATTAGATTGTGGATGTAAATAGCAGCCCACAACAGCAGAATCCTTTCACAGTTTTAATCTCGCAAGATAGTTGTAAATCAAGGTTAGGGTATTTGTTGTTTTTTAAAGTATAGCAACTTTTAAAAGCATTGTAATTGTAACAAGGATCAGCACAGCAACAAAATTGTCATGTTAAAGAAGAGTTCTACAAGCCTCAAAGCACTGCTTCACAGAAATATAATATGTGAAGAATGTGAATACAGTCAATGCTATTGATGGAAAGAAGGAATACATAGATATCCAACTGTATGATGTTAGTGAAAGGATGCAGGAGAGGTACTGTTAATAACCTTTATTTTGGGTGTTATTGATATCAAAGACTCAGTGGTTTAAGTCCTTTTCTGTTCATTTTTTTTGCCTAATTTCATATTTTAGCCTTAAGGCTTGTGCCTCATTATGCTGTTAAATGGTAATACTGTATAAATATGGTATCTTAATTCTTTGTTCCTTGCTACTATATTGCATTATGTCCTGTATTTCATCATGGGCAACCAAAGGCAGGCTATTGTCTTTCAGTTCACAACTTCTCAATCCAGTCTTTAAGCACTAAGTATCTGAGTCAGTAAATTTTCATTGTGTTTTGAACAAAATTGAGCAGATTTGCAACACAGTGCTTTCATCCTGCAGATCTGTTATGTGCTTTCTATTGACTCTTAAGAGTCCTGCATGTAAATCTCAAAGCTGAGCCTGGCTCCATGAGCCCAAGTTGATATTTGTGGCACAAGAATGAGTGTATTGATTACACACAAAATACAACAAATTTTGGGCTTTACATCTAAGGATGTAACAACGAGGTCTGTTTTAAAATATTTGAGGTTTAGGTCTACTGGAACATTTTTAGCATTAGGCTTGCATTTGTGGGGTTTTATGTAAGCCACTCTAATACACCACATATTTTGCTAATTAGAATATAATCTATACAGTATATGCTTTCAAATTTTATGGTTTTTTTTAGATGTCCCCATTGTCTGTTGCATGGGTTTTTTCTTTTAATTTTTTTTTCTTAAGGTATGGGGGGGGTGGTTTTGTGGTTGCTTTTAAATAGCTTAAACCACCTTTTTGAGACTTGAGGCTAATTCCACTCCCTGCCATCTGCTTTGAGCTTTATTTTAGGCTCATATTTCAGATCTGCATGCAGTGCTTGCATTACCCTAGTAACTACACATTGGTCCCTTGTTCTAGGGGTTCAACATTATTTTCCAAATTTATCATAGGTCTTGTGATAACACAAGCCATGGATTTTTGTCTAAAAGTTATTGGCCTCTCATTTATCTGCTGTAGTATTGTTGTATATTATGTGTGCATGATGTCAAGCTGCCATGTAAAACTTTTAAAAAAGAAACAAAAAAAACCTTAAATGCAGGCCATCCTTTTTTGCATGCTTAGAAGCTTAGAACATTCAATGTAACAAACTGAAATTGCATGTTATAATGTTTAGGTTTGGGTTTTGTTCTGTTTTTACTTTGTGTTCTGTTTTTTGTGAATTTGCTTATTGTGCTGTTTGAATGGTTGTAAGTAGGATTAAATGCACTGGTGAGGCAAACAGTGCCAACGGAAGGTAATTTTCCAGTTGTATATGTTATACAGCATTTGAAGGGACCATGTATTCTGTTCAAGAATAAATAAAATCAGAATTGATAAGTAAAACACAGAATATTTTTTTAAATGCCAAACCCTAAACTAAGTTGGAATACATAAAGACTGAAATACTTTGGGGGAAAATCCTATTTATTACAATAGGTATAAATCTTCTTTAAATTAATTATTTAAAATGGAGGCTTTATCTTCAAATAGAATAAATTACAGTTGCTTCAAAGGAAAAAAAGCATTATGGTGAAAAACAGTTTCTGGTTCCTTGAAAATGTTGTGCATTTTGTATTTTACATCATTAGTGCAATTTGGATGGTTCTTGGTATGTGTATAGTTCAAAGGTCTTCGTGTTCACATTTTAAAATTAGGTAGTGACTTCATCTTTAGAGCTTGGTTTCATTATTTTTATTTTCTTTGCATTTAGAAATATGAACACTTTAAATCTGTTACTTAATTCTGTAAGTAATTTTTATAATTATGATGTAACTCTATCCTTAAAACATTTAAAATAAATCCTTTATGTGCAATTCACGACTGTAAATTTTATTCTCATGAGCAAAATGTACTGATGTGACGTCAGATTGTGAAGAAGTAGTTTCTTCGGTATTTTAATTAAAAAGGACTTAGCATTTTAAAGTTGTGCCATGTGTGCTGGTATAATACTGTAAGTATTATAAGTAAGTTTGCTTGCTAAGTCAAATATTTGTGGGGTTTTTTTCTCCATTTAAATATGAATTTCAATAAGATGGAATTTGACTGGGGTAAAGCACAATGCTTAAATTGTATTTCACTGAAAGCAGAAATGTTTCTCCTCAGGGAGGAGGCATCTGTGAGGAAACCTCTTATTTCCAGAATGCACTATAGCTCACACTGTTAGCAGTAGTTCAGCAGCAGGGAACGGTAGAAGTGTTTGTCAGTGCTTAGCTGATAGATTTGTCTGCTTTGAATTAATGTGTTTAGCTAAAATTGGAATTTTAATTTACTCCGTTAAAAAAAAATAGGTGGAAGTTATCCAAAGCTAGAGGTGATGTAACTTCAGATTGTAAAAAGCATCTTCAGTATTTTAATTAAAAAGGACTACAGTGCTGTGAATTTCCTTGAAACACATTAAGTTTTTCATACTAATGCATGCACACTTAATTATTTTATGTCATTAAAGGTAAATTACCAAGTCTGAATACTGAAATAATGAGATTTTCTTTATTCCTCCCTCTAATTATATGGGAGAAAATCATATGTGACTACCCCAAAATATGTTTTTGGCACCCAGCTGCCAACACCCCTGGACAGTGGGGAAGGAGTGCACCCTCAGCAAGTTCACAGATTATGCAAAACTGGGAGGAGTGGCTGATAGACCAGAGGGTTGTGCTGCCATCCAGAGGTACCTTGACAGGCCAGAAAAATGGACTGACATGAACCTCATGAAGTTCAACAAGGGGAAATGCCAAGTCTCACATCTGGGGAGAAACAACCCCATGCACCAGTACGTGATGGGGTCTCACCAACTGGAAAGTAGCTTTGCAGAAAAGGACTGTATGTGTGTAGTGTCCTGGTAGACACCAAGCTAAACGTGAGCCAGCAATGCGTCCTTGTGGCAAAGAAGGCTAACAGTATCCTGGGCTGCATTAGGATATTGTTGCCAGAAAGCTGGGGAGGGGGGATCCTTCCCCTCTACTTAGCACTGGTGAGGCTGCATCTGAAGTACCATGTCCAGTTCTGGGCTCCCCAGTACAAGAGAGTCATGGATATACTGGAGAGAGTCCAGCGAAGAGCCACAAAGATGATTAAAGGAATGAAGCATCTCTCCTCTGAGGAGAGGCTGTGTCACCTGACTTTATGGGGACAGACAGGTTCTTTTGGAAATCCTTCACAGAATGATGATGAAACTAAGTTGTAGTTACAATTAAAACTTTATTTTTTAACCAGACTTTTATGATCAGCATAGAATGCTATGATCAGAGTAACACAGGTGTTTTAATAAGCAGAATCAGTGTAGCACAATTTTCTAAGTAGCATAGCACAGAATTTTATAGCACAGCTTAGCTTATGATTTCTAATCACTCTAATCTCTGCAGATCAGGTCAAATCTTAATACATGACTTGCCATATCAATATAACAATTATAATCTAAGCTTGAAAGATTTAAAAGATCACAAGTCACTCAATCCTCAGTAGAAGCAGATGACATTGGAGGCATCCCTGACCACCAGAGGATCACAAATTTTGCCATCCAGCAGCAGTTTCAATCCAAGTCCCACTTAGGACTTTTAACTGCTTGAATT